CCCTCTGGAGGATCCTGCGGGCTTGTCTACACATACCGCACTGTGGCAGCACAGTGGTACGCTTGGTGAAGAGGCGGTCTGGGCTGCTAGGGTAACTTCTCCTGTCAGCAGAGGAACCCCACCTCCCCGAGAGACCGGAGCTGTGCTGCGGGAAGCCCTCCTGCTGGCATAGTGCTGTCTGCCCCAGGACTGCGTCGCTCAGGGGTGAGTGACTTACTTATACAGACGTAAGGCTGTAGTGTAGGCCGAGCGGGAGACGCTGTGAAATCCCAGCAAAGATTGCTAATCTGCATCAGGACAGAGCGGAGACACAGAATGGTTAAAGATTGTTACTGCTGTGAGGCGAGGTGGCTTCTCTTCTGCACGGTCACAGACTGTGACGAGAAGAGTGACGGCTGCAGGCCGCTGGTATCATTTGGGCCGGAGATAAGCTGCGTGAGTCGGATTTTGCAGATGACATAGTCATCCTGGATACCAGCTTGGATGGAATGAAAAGATTCTTTCTGAGCAAAAAAGCAGAAGCTGCCCCAGTGGGACTTCGTATCAACATGTGGTTGTGTAGCCAGAGAGTGCTGTCCATGCTGGCTGATGTGCGATTGATGGAGAAGAGTATGGAAGAGTTGATGACTTTATCTTGGAAGTACAATATCTGCTAACAGCAGCTCACTACACCGAAGGCAAGAATCAGCAAAGCCTGTGGATCATTCTCCCATTTGTCAAACATCTGGAAGAGGAAGAAGATCCATCTACACACTAAAATGAGATCATACAATGCTCCTGCTCTCCCAGCACTACTGTACGCCTCCAAAAGGTGGCTGAGGGTCCAAGTACACAACAGGACGCTGGGTGCACTCCACCAGTGTTGTCTAAGAAGAATCTTGGGAATGAACTGGAGAGATTGTGTAGCCAACATAGAAGACCCGCGTCTCAGTACTTAGAGATGGTGACGGTGCTTTGGCCATGTCATCCGGCTACCCGGTGGCACAATCGCAAGGATTGGATTAGATTGGATCCCACCTGGAGGGAAGAGAAGGTGCGGAGGACACAGAACGGCCTATTGCAGTAAGATTGGAAAGGAGACCGCCCTCATGGAGACAGCTCACAATGGAGTCAGACATCAGTCACAGAGCCAGCCAGGGGAAACGGGTTGCCTCATGCACCTAGACACAGGAGGTGAAGTCTCAGTGGGTCTGAGTGAAGGAAACCCCAGAATATGCTCAGCTGGAGGGAGAATGTAATTTCCTGAGGTGGGATTTCGTCTTGGCACCCTCAATCTCGGAGGCAGCATGCCAGGGGAAGTTTAGAGACCACAGGTGGCCAGGAGCTTGGTGGTAAGTCTCATCTGGAAGAGAGTGGCCCGTATCCAAGCACCCCTTCCCGCTGTGCTGCATTATCCAGACCCCCACACAGACTGCACTGTGGGTGACTCCCACCCCCGGTACTCACTGGGCTCTGGAGCAGCTGCAGCGTGGAGACGAGGGGGTATGGCCGACCAAGAGATTTGCAGCCACCGCATACCAGAGCTAACAAGGAGGATCACTGTGGGCAAAGCCTGAACGCCAGTCCCTGGTTCCCCGAGCACTGGGGATGGCACTTAGTGCCCTGTGAAATTCCCTGGAGTGCGGAGACCCGGGAGGTCAGCAACTCATTGGCAACTCAGGGAGTTTGGACACAGAGAGGACGGACACGTGGACCTTTTGAGGGCTGAACTCCCACGGTCACTAATCCTGCAGCCCCACAGATCTTACCACCCCTGCTTCCCCCAACCCCTCAGCATGCCTAGATCCTCCAGCCCCCTTTGCTTCCCATGGCAGGTTGTTTTCTGAGAGACGTGATCCAGCATTTGTGCCATCGCAGGGCAACCCCCTCCACCAGCTCCCTGTCTGAGAAGGCTCCTCCTTGCACACCCTACCTCCTGGCCCCATGCCCTGCCCCCTGCTTGCACTCCCCTGTTCTCTCCTCTCTGTTCACTGCCCTGTCCCAGGCTTGGTGGTGACAGCACTCACAGCCAATCCGTCAGCCCCCTCAGGGAAGGAGGTTCCATTTATTGCCCTGCCCTGGAGGCAGCCCAGCCCCTGGGATCAGGCTGTGGGTCTCTGCTGCTGGGGAGGGGCTGGGTGACACTGGAGCCCCTGGGCATCTCCAGGGCAAGGTCAGCCCAGCCAGCAGCAGCCTCGCCTCTGCCCTAGCGGGCCCCAGCTGCAGGCTGGGGAGCTCAATCCTGTGGCCCGTTCACACCCCGGCCTCTGCAGAGGCTGCAGCCAAGGGCCCAGGTGGTGCCAAGAGCAGTGGGATCTCAGAAAGCAGCTGCTCCCCGGGTGGTTCACCTGCACTGGCCCCGGCCAGCTCTGCAAAACCCACCAGCCCAGCTGAACGTGGAGGCCAAGGAGACAGAGCACCAGGGCAGGGCTTGCTCAGGCACACGGGCATCACCCAGCCGCTCTCCAACATCCACCTGCTCATTGGACAGAGGCCTTTGGCCCCCATGGCTCTCAGCCTGGCTCCTTTCACCCCAGCTGGACTCAGAACTATTCCACTGCAATAAACGCGCCGGTTTAGTCAGGAGCTGATGGTATTCCCCACATTCACCGCGCCTGGCTGGTGCCCCTCACTCCTGACCTGCAGCCCCCTGCTAGCCCAGCCCTGGGCTCCCCCCACTCAGTTCTGCTGCTTCCCCTCACTCCTGACCCGCAGATGGGGAAACTGAGGTGTCGGGCAGCAATGTGACACCATAAGTCAGTGACAGAAACAGCATTAGACCCTATGAGTCCTGGCCTGCAGCCCCCTATGCTAACCCTAGACGACCCCGCTCTGAGCCGGGATTGGCACCCAGCCTGCATGTCCTGCCAGCAGGGATGCCCTCACTGCCACAGCTGAGCCTTGCTTCTGCCTGGGCAGCACCTCACTGGCTGGGCCAGTGAGCCCAGGACCCTGCTAGCCCTGTCTGAGTCTGCGCTGCGGGCTACGCACAGCCAGTTCGTATCAGCGCCTCCCAAGCCAGGTTCGGGATCTGCCCCGGTCACTTGCTTTGGGGCTGCCCGCTCCGCTGGGCCCCCCATCCAATCAGCCAGAAGTCCCCCATGGAGGAGGCTCAGGGGCAGCACCACCTACCCCATCTCCCCCCATGAGCCCCAGGTGGGCATCTCCTGCTTGCCAGCCAACGCTGGGCCTGGGACACCTTGGAGCGGCCTTGCCTGGGGGCCAAGTGCCTCTGATGTGGCGACCTGACGTGCCACCTTCAGAGCCTGGCCCCAGCTGCCCACTCTGGGCTCCTGCCCCCAACCCCCATCAGAAGGAGGGAGAGAGCCGGTGCCTCCAATCCTGGGGAGCAGAGACCCCAACTGCTCCTGTCAGGCGCCCTGCCCTCTGCGGGATGCTTTCAAACTAACTTTCTCCCCTGGCCAACTGGAGCAACCCCCGCCCCCAATCTGCTTCCCAGGAGCCAAAGCTGGGCTGTGCCCAGAGCCCCGGCCCAGCTGCCCGCACCCCCGCCAGGGAAAAGCCCCTCGGCCGAGCCCAGGCTGGGCAGAGGGGAGCCCCTGGCCAATTGCGGGGGGCAGCGCTCCCGGGGCCTGGCTCGCTTGGGGCCAATGACCAAACTTTCGCAGCCGGCCCCAGCGGCAGCCGCGTTTGCGGAGCTCGGCCGCAGACAATGACCCGCAGCCCCGCGGGACGCCCCGAGCGGCCTCTGCTCGCGGGGTGCGGGACCCTGAACTTTGCGGGCGCCAGGACTCAGCACCAGGTTCCTCCGGCCGGGGGTGGGAGCCAATAGCCCCTCAGGGGAGCTGCACCCTGCCCCCGACCTGCTAGTCAAGGGGAGCAGGCAGGAGCCCGGAGCCCAGCCCGCCTGCGACGCCGCCCCCCGCGCAGCGACCCCCGGGCGCTTCCCCCTGGAACTCGCGCTGCCCGCAGCGTGGAAAGGGCGCAAAGTAGCCGGGCCCCTGGGCGGCGAGGACCCGGCTGCGGGGAAGGGGGCTCCGGCCCAGCGGGGGCGGGGGGGTCCCCATGAAGTTCGCCTCTCGCTCCCCCCCGCCCCGGCTGGTTAACAAAGAAGCCACCTACTCTGCTGGGCCATGCTGATGACAGTCTCGGTGGTGGCGTGGTACTCGTCCTCCTCCAGGTACTCGTCCTGCGGGAAGGCGTCCCCCTGGAAGTCGTGCAAGTCCAGGAGCTGCTGGAGCGGCGGCGCCTTGGGCAGCAGCTGGTTCACCACCTCCCGGCTGATGTTGGGCGCCTCCTTGAGCCGCAGCTTGCTCAGGATCTGCGACTTGATGCTCTCCAGCCGCATCTCCTTGCTGTGCTTCCGCCACAGGCAGACGGGACAGCCCGGCTCCTCCGCCTCGGGCCCCGGGGGGCGCTGCCCGCCGCCGGCCCCTTTCTCCACCACCTCCCCCGGGGCCAGCGCCACGGCCAGCGCCAGGGCGCACAGGAAGAGCGGGGACCTGCGCACCGACATGGCTGGACGGACGGCTCCCCTCCTGCCTCCCCCCGCCTCCGGACTTGGGACTCGGGCCGCGGCTGGCTGCCCTGGGGAGGGGGGGGTTGATGGGGGCAGAGGTTCTCCGGGGCCGGCTGGGTGGGAGCCGGTAACTAGTGATGCTGGCCGGGGGGGGGGAGCCAGAAAGACTCGGGGTTTTATATCCCAACTGAACTGTGTCGTAAAAAGCCTTGATTGGCTGGGGACGCAACAAAAGATCCTCTGGCCAAAGGGCTGTCACCGGAGGGGAACGAGCCGCGAGCGAGGGGGGCCCAGCTCCGCCACTTGCTCCGCGCCCGGCCCGGGGGGGGGGGCGGCCCGGCCGCCCCTTAAAGAACCAGGGACCCCCCCGCCCGCCGCGGCAGGGCTGGGTTTTGGAGGAGCTGCTGCTTGCGGCGAAATAAACGCGCCCCGGGGCAGGTCCAGAGCCCGGGGTGAAATGGCCCGGGGGGCGAACCCAAAGCAGCGTTTGTCTGCCCCGGGTCAGAGCCAGCGGCCCCGGCTGAGCCCCCCGGCCGGCCCCAGCCGGCAGCTGCGGACCCCCACCCGCCGCCGCCGCGTCCCCGTCCATCGCCAAGGGAGGGGGGGTCCGCGCCAAGCCTCCTGCCGGCTCCTGTCCCCGGCTGGCGCTGCCCAGGTCTCGCCCCCGGCGCCTCCGCTGCCCTGCGCTCAGTGCGGCGCAGCCTCTCGCCTGGCACCTGGGAGCTGCTGCTTCCCTGCCCGGGTCCCACCGCTCCGGAGGGGCCGGACCCGGACGTGGCCCGGCCATTCCCTGCCTTGGCACCGGTGCCCAAAGCACGAGACGCGAGCGATCCCCCCCTCCGCCCTGCGAGACAAGTCCCGGCACCTCCCGCTCCAGCCAGGGGGCCGGCAACCGCCGCCCGCCTTGCTCCGCTGCCCGCGGGCAGAGCCGGCCAGGTGAGACGGGGCGCTGGAGCCGCTATCACGGGGGACAGGCCCGGGGCGATGCGAGGCGGAGGGGCGCCAAGTGCAAGTAGCGAATCATCCAGTGAAAATCCCCAGGTCTCCCTGTCCTGCTCTAGATGGGGGGGGGGGGGGTAGATAGATAGATAGATAGATAGAGGGGGGTGTGGGGATAGATAGATTAGATTAGACGGTGTGGGGGGGAGATGGATAGATAGATAGATAGAGGGGGGTGTGGGGATAGATAGATTAGATTAGATGGTGTGGGGGGATAGATAGATAGATAGATAGATAGATAGAGGGGGGTGTGGGGATAGATAGATTAGATTAGATGGTGTGGGGGGGATAGATAGATAGATAGATAGAGGGGGGGTGGGGATAGATAGATAGATAGATAGAGGGGGGTGTGGGGATAGATAGATTAGATTAGATGGTGTGGGGGGGATAGATAGATAGATAGATAGATAGATAGATAGATAGATAGATAGATAGAGGGGGTGTCTGGGGATAGATAGATAGAGGGGGTGTCTGGGGATAGATAGATGGATAGAGGGGGTGTGGGGAGATAGACAGATGGTGTGGGGGGAGATAGATTAGATAGAGGCTGTGTGTGGGGATAGACAGAGGGGATTTATGGAGGGGGGTGTATGGGGATGGATAGATAGATGATTGGAAGAGGGGGTGTGTGGGGATGGATAGATAGATTGAAAGAGGGGGTGTGGGGGATGGATAGAGAGATAGATCAGATCAGCCTGGAAGATCTCAACTAGCCTGGAAATGAGCACCCAGACCAGCACAACTAAGAATGGATTATTTGACCCCAAAAGCTCTTGCCCAGCTCTAACGTCTGGGAATCTCATCTAATGCCCCACAGCTCTCCCCCCCCCAGCCCCCATCCCCGGTGCTGCACCCACAGCCCCGCCTTGGCAAGGAACCTGCAGGCTGGGGCAGATGCAGAGCCTTAGGCACGCTCAGGGCTTGAGAAATGAGGACCCCACATAAGCCAGCCCTGCCAGCCTCCTCCCTGGGGGTCTTTGGGATCCAGGGGTGTGCCAGGCAGGGTGGGACCTTGGTGCAGCATTAGTAGACTCAGCTTTAGCAAGACAGCTGCTGGATGGCCACCAGGAGCCACGTGCGGTGGCCAGACGGACACAGGCCGCAGTGGCTGGAGGCCATGAGCGGGACTATGGTGCAGGGGAGGGCAGCAGTGGAAGGGAAGGGCTGGGATCAGCGGCTGCATGCAGGGGCCTGAGAACCGGATGTGGCGAAAGCGGGAACAGGCTCCGCATGGACCAGCCCCCCCCAGCAGTAGCTGAGTGCGGCCCAGTTCCTTTGTTCAAGGCAGGGTCCAGAGGCGGCTGGCGCCCGGTCTCCAAGTGACACCATGTGGGCTCCAAGGCAAAGTCAGGCTCGACATAAGGTGGAGTTCTTTACAGTGCCGGGGCCAGGGCGGGTTCTCCACCACTCGGAGACGGTGCCTTGAGACATGCCATGGCTCAGCCAGCACCATGGGGATGCAGGAATCACTGGGGGTGGGTCGCTGGCCTGTGCTGTGCAGGAGGGCAACAGATGGTCCCCATGGCAGGGATTTCCCTAGACCCGCCTCCTAGGGGGCAAGTAGGCCCTGCTGAATTTCCTCAACCCCCCCGCCCCAGTTACATGCAGTGTTGCTAATTTAGTCATGGGTTGGAAGCTTGAATTGAAATTGAAACATGAATACGCACTTTAAAAGCATCTACAGTGTATGAGAAAATACTTGTACCCGAGAAAGCAGAATGGGTTGGGAAAGTCTGAACAAAGCCGAGCTTCCCCATACAGCTGTTATTTATGACAATGTCGGCACATTCGTCTCAGCTACATCGACCTCCCTAATGGTTCCAACTGGTTATTTATAAGCGAGGCCTGACTGAGCTCTCCCCTGATGGCTAGTGATGAGCCGGGACGGGTGGAAAGGCTTCAGGGTAGTTACACGACTCGCCTGCTCTGCCGGGGTATCCGGCAGCCAGAGCTGTGCTGCCCAAGTGATCGATTTTGGCTGGTGTCAGTTACAAATCCTGGTCATGTTAAATGTGGGGGTCATGAAATGTTGTTCTCCTCATTGTACGAGTAAAGGGCAGCAGGCCTGTGCTCGGCCTGCCTGAATGAGGGGGTCTCCCGCCGTGCTTACTTTGTGCTCGGGCTTGCCAGGGCTGAGCTCCAGGCTCAGCAGTGCGGAGCCCTGGGACCTCTGGGCTTGTCACATCAGTTAGGAAAGTAACAAACTTGCTTGAGCCCCGGCACCTCGTTCCTTGCAAACTAAGCCCTGGTCACCTGCAACTGAACGGCACTGGATGCCAGATCCCAGTGCACAGACAGAGGGTGGGGACAGGTGTTTTGCTTGGTGGGGTGGGCACAGGCACTATCTGACCTGCCCCTCTCTCCTGTTTAAAGACAGAGCTGCTTAGGCTCCGTTAAGTGACCACTGGAGCTGAACTCACTGATAAGGTCTAAGTGCTTAGACCTGCTGCAGGACAGGAGACAGCCCAGCCTGCACTAGCAGCGAGGTCCCCCCCCCCCCGAGAGCCGGTGGAACTGCGAGAGACCCACTCGCAGAGGTCACGTGGCAGGGGGCAGCAGAAAGTGACGGTGCAGGGCCATTGGGGACGGAGCGGTAGGGTGAACGGTGGCACGACAAACAGTGGCCAGAGCACTGGACTGTGTTTTAGTGACGTCGCTCCAGAATGCTAGTTCTGTGACTGGGAAACTTATATAAATATATGTTTCCTAGTGGGACATTTTTAAAATGCCTTATTTGCCAAGGTCCTTATCTCACATCATCGCTGTCTCAAGAGGTCATTATCTTGGGGAGTTTCTGTACTAAACTTTTTTATTATTATAAATATCTTTTATGTAAGAATGGCCAGACGGGGTCAGACCAATGGTCCATCTAGCCCAGTATCCTGTCATCCCACAGTGACTATTCCAGGTGCTTCAGAGGAAATGAAGAGTGAGCCATCCTGTTGTCCACTCCCAGCTTCTGGCAAACAGAGGCTAGGGACACTCAGCGCAGGATGTTGCATGCCAGCCTATCCTGGATAATGGTCACTGATGGACCTAACCTCCATGAACCCTGTTATAATTTTGGCCTTCACAACATCCCTTGCAAAAAGTTCCACGGGGGACTGTGCGTTGCGTGAAGAAACACTTCCTTTGGTTTGTTTTAAATTTGCTGCCTATTCATTTCATGTGGTGACTCCTGGTTCTTGTGTTAAGTGAAGAGGTAAATGACACTTCCCTGTTCACTTTCTCCACCATGATTTTATAGACCTCTGTCATATCCCCTCTTAGTCGCCTCTTTTCCAAGCTGAAAAGTCCCAGTCTTATTAATCTCTCCTCCTATGGAATCTGTTCCATACCCCAGTCATTTTGTTGCCCTTTTCTGTACCTTTTCCAATTCCAATAGACCTTTTTTTGAGATGGGGTGAGCAGAACTGTATGCAGTATTCAAGATGTGGGCATATCATGGATTTATATAGTAAAGTGGAGGAGCTTGGTTTGCCAGACTGATCAGCTAAGCCAATACTGACAACCTATATGAAAAGGCTGCAAAACATTGGGCCTCTGGACTGCATCAACATGCAGAAAGCCTTATAAGCCCGTCACTGTCAAAGCCAATTTTAGAAGAACTTAATGAGGCTGTTAAGAATGTTGGAGACATAACTCAATTTATGTGAACCAACATGGCTGTTGTACCTACTTTCTATTTAAGCAAGAGATACCACACGCTACAAACGGGAGGCCAATGTTAAGTGCATTGTCATTTGTTAATCCTGAAGTTGGACACTGGTTTCGAACAAGACCAGCAAATGCTCCCTATCTTTCTGCAAGAAACTCAGCTGACTGGCTAGACACATGCGGTGCAACAGCGAAAGACTCAGCCGTTGAAAAAGTGAAGACCTCTCCCGCCATATTCAGAATATGTGCACTCATGGCTGATGAAGCACAAGTGCAACTAGGCATCAGGTGTTAAGTCATGGCGTATGTTGATGTCCGTGGTAGGCCAGCAGATGCATTCTAGGTGTTCAGGTAAGAGAAGACACATCAGCTGCATCTGTGGCATCTTAGAAGAGTTAAATGCTTGTCAGTTGAACCCCAGACAGGTGGCTGCTTGTGCATTTGATGGAGCTACAAACTTCTCTGGAAGACATAGTGGAGCACAAGCTTTGCTCAGAGAAAAGTGTAACTCTGATCTCTCCTATACACACTGCAGAGGCCATCTACTCCAGCTAGCCCAAGTACAAGCTGCAGAATCTTCAAAAGACATTAAAAAGCCATAAATGTAATGGCTTTGTTATACTCTTTTTTTCAGCAAGAGTCCACAAGGACTGAACGTCTTGGAAACAAATAGAAGATACACTGGGACTGAAGTTCAAATTAGTCCAACCTGCGAAAACCTACTGGCTTTCTCATGAGCGATTCTTGGCTGTTGTCTTAAAATTACTGCAACTGTTATTACCGGCTTTGGAAAGTATCCTCCAGGATAGGACAGATCTGGGTAGACAGGCTGATGGACTACTTTTGTTACTAAGTTCAGAGAAGACTATCACCGTTCTCTCTCTTGTAAGTCTACTGTTGAAACCACTTGGGTCATTAAACAATGTCATCCAGGCATCTGCTACAACAGTAGTAGATCTTTGTCCAGCAATAGAAGCTACCCTTGGATCAATCAGAGAGTTATCCATTGAAAATGTACTGGAAGAAACAAAGACTTCAGTCCAGAAGTTGACAAATGAAGGTCCTTAAGTGAAAATGACAAGAAGTGTTTGTTAAGCCAGCTGAAAAAGTACAGAGACTTGATTCTTACAAATCTACAATGCGATTTCTGGATTCTACTCAACCTCTACATAGCTTTTACAGATGCCTGTCTTATAAAACACCGACAGTTGAGCGGAGTGAGGCACGACCAGCAATGGGGCTGCCATGTGCTCAGGACAGAATAGAGAATTTTGAACACAGAGTGGAATATCATCCGACAAACAAATGAAGATTTAACTTCAACTTCTTTATCGTCACTAGTGGTTCGACCCAATCTTTGTGCTCTGTTTCCTGGGATGAAAGACGTAGGAATTCGTCTCTTTCTACTCCCAGTCACAACAGCGACAGCCGAGCGTTCTTCTTCCTCACGGAATAGAATTCTGTGTTCTGAAAGAAGTCGCCGTCTGCCTGATCATGAGCATGTCATGAAGGCCTGGAAGTAACGGACACACAAGAAGACACCAAAGAGTTGTGCAAAATTAGAACAAGAAACCAAGACGGATGTAGATGTCGTGCTTCATAGTAGCCTTGAGTAGCCAACTTTAATTTTTGTGATGATTTTAAAACATGAGTTAAATTTAATAAAATAGTCGTGAAACATTTTTCAGTTTTTACTATGTGCCATACAGTCCACCTTTGCCCTCATGGTCTCAACCCTCATTGGCCCTCACCCCCCGCCCCCCAAATATTCCAACACCCCCCCAATTTCAATTCCTGGGGAAAACATTGGGCCTGACGCTCATGGGCCTGTGCATCCATTGACTGTAGGCCCCACACTGTGGGTCCTCTTGACTCCTCAAGGAGGCAGCGTGGGCCGAGCAAGCCTGGCTCTGTCCTGCAGCTTTGGGCCTATGCTGGGGCTCCAAAGGCCCGGCTCCCTTCCTCAGTGACCTTGGCCAGGTCCCTGCACCTCAGCATGCGTCAGTTTCCCACCAGAAGGACAGAAATAGAGCTACTTCCTCCCTTGCAGGGGGGTGGTGAGGCTAAAGGAAGCCCCATCTGTGAGTGGCCCCAAGCCCTGATCCTCGTGCCATGAGCACGACTTCCCCTGGGGGAATTAGCTGAAACCTCCGGATGGGGAAAGGGAAGAGGCAGATTTCGAGCTAGGTCTGGACTTGCAGGTGCCCTAAAATATTCCTGGCGGCCCCAGCCAGTCCTGGAGCAACACAGGGGCTGCTGGGGCCATTTATTAGCCAACCACATCGACTCCTGGGCCAGATTTTCACATGCTCAGCACCCCCTTTGGTTCGGTTCTTCTCTCCAACCGGCTGGAATCTTTGCTTCATGCCTGGAGTTTTTTCCTGTTTGAAGCCACCCTTGAACACGGGGCAATAGCAGCTTGGAGGCGGGCATGCCTCCGGCACGGTCTCTGCCATCCCAACTCTCCGTGGGATTCTCCATCGGGAGAAAAATGAACCCCATGCCATGAGTGGGGAACCTGGCTGCGGGAGAGAGAGTGGAAAAGCAGAGATGCAGGGCCGGGGCCACTGGCTTCTCTGCAGAAATGCACAGCAAGGCATGTGACTCTGTCCGCTCCTCCCCAGCCTCAGGTGCAAGGAGAAAATCATTTAAAAAATCCTTGACTGATTCGGAACTTGTGTGTAAGTTTGTGCGTGCGCAGGAGGTGGTGGTGTGGGAATGGCTGAGCCATCAGGTGCTGGGGGTCCAGACTCCTGGGTTCTCTTCCCAGTGCTGGGGGTGTGTGAACTAGTGGGAAGTTCAGGGGAGGGGGACTGAGAATTTTCTCTGTGACCAGCTCTGGGAGAGCGTGTGCTCTAGGGCTGAGAGCAGGGTCTTGGGAGCCAGGACTCCTGGGTTCTTGTCTGTGCTTTACCGCTAATGTTCATGGAATTATCACACACAGAGTGGGACAGTTTGCACAGCACTTTGCAGACAAATAAGAGGAACCATCCTGCCCTAAGGCAGGTGCAGTTTCAGTGAGAGGCAGCCGTGGGGACACGGGGGAGGAAGGGACAGACGCCCTTACTCAGTATTTGGCTGTCAAAGGACAGGTTTCAGTTCTGTACATGTCAGGTCAGTTTCTTTATCCATTAGCCCGATTCTTGTTGGATTGGTTGGTTTTCGTTTGGGGTTTTGGGCTGAGGTTTTGTTTTAAAAGACTTTTATTTGTGTGCTGTGTCCTGCAGGCTGCGTCTCGCTGCGCCGGGGTTTCTGTGAGGACAGGAGTTGAAGCTACAGCCTGGGGCTTGTGCTGCATTGTGACCGTAAAGGGAGAAGAGATGGGGAAATAACAATGAATGGTTGGAAAGGGTTTGTTTTAATGCCTGCCTCTTTGTGGGGGAGCCCCCCCGGGAACATGGCTGCTCTAACCATTGCTCCATGCAGCCCACAGAGAGATCGCTCACCTGGGCGCCCTGCAGCCATCTCTGGGTGTACCCAGTGTTGCCAGCTTGGTCTGTATCGTTAAACCCGCTGGGCCCATGACATGTTTCCTCAGCGTAAAGGGTTGTCCTTTGTGCCCTGGCCAAACACATTTACATTTTGCCCTTCCCCCTGCCACAGTTACAGCTGGGCTTGGAATCTCCTGGCCCAGGGTGTCTGGACTGGGAGGTGCTGTGCTTACGGCTGGTGTGCTCTGCACCAGAGGTGGCTGCATTTCAGCAGCGGGGGAAGAGATGTTGTGGATTTAGGCCACAATCCTACCAGCACTGCAGAATGTGCATAAAACCACGCGTGGGCTGCAGCGTTCGTAGGGCCGGGGCTGTCCATTGGTCGTGTTGTTTGCTGATGTGCTTGTCACCGAGCAGCTGAATCGGAGCTGAAAAGGCCAGAGAACCTACCCCACTGGGCAATGAGCCCCACAGGGAGGGCGTCTTACGAGCCTCTCACTGCCTCGCAGGGCAGGCTGGGCACTGAAAAGAGCCGGGAACTGGTGCTGCCTGCCCAGCCCGCTGCAGCCACTGATGCAAACTCTGTGCCAAGAGCGTGACACGCAGGGCTGAAGGAAATCAGTCGTACCCCGAGCCCAGTCCTGCATCCACCAGGGGGAGGTGCTGCAGGGCTCATCTCACCCCACCAAGCGCTTAGAATTGGGCAAGGGTCCCCCCTCACCCAGGAAAGCCCTACAGGTCCTATTCAGGGCCAGCAGCCGGCCACATGCATCCCCCTCCCTCCCACTTGTAGTTAGCTGTGGCTGCTGCTGAGCGGGGTGCAAGGTGCTGGTGTGGGGGAGGGTCCCGGGGAGGACGTTAATTCATGCCTGCTCCAGGGGGTGGCAGTAAAGGGGGGGAGGGGTGCATGGCAGCTGATTGTCTGCAGGTGGAGTGGGATTGGTTTCACTATAAAGTGGGGGAGTTTGCAATTGGATTTAGTGCAAATCGGGGGGGGGAATAGTCCTACCCAGCTGTTCCAGCCTATGGCCGGGGCCGCCAAAATCACGAGAGTGGCATAAAAATGATGAGTTTTTTAAAATTATGAATCAATTTGGGTTTCTCTCTATCCCCCCTTTCTGGTGTCTGAGCTTTTAGGTTTCCACTCCAGTCACGTGTCCAGTTTTTCTCTGCAACCAAGAGAGCTAGTGACTGTCTGTTTTTGTTTGATGAAAACGGAAACTCTCCTGTACGAACATGACTCTGGGAGCTGGGCCTGTACATAATCATCCCCTAGTAACCCCTAGTGCTTACTCAGCACTTTTCACAGTGTCACAAAGTGCTTTACAGAGCAGGGCAGGATCCATGGCCCCATTGTACAGATGGAGACACTGAGGCACTGAGCAGAGCAGTGACTTGTCCAAGGTCATTCAGCAGGCCCGAGCGTGTTCTGAGTGTCTGTTAACAGCTGTACAGGGAGGGGCCATGGTGCCAGGTAATGTAATAGCTTACACTAGTTTGGGTTTTGAATGTAGATGCTAGTTCGGGGGGGGGGAGGGGGTGCGCATGTGTGCCTATCTGTGTGTGTGTTGGGAAACTCCTGCTCTGGGGTGGGAGGAATTTGTCACTATCTTTTCCATGACTGGGATTTGCCCCGTGGGCAGTGAGGCCACTGCGGACCTCCAGGGACATATCAGGCACCTGTTCTACTTTGTGTCCTGCCTAAACTTTCATGTGAAAATACCACACAATGAGCTCAAACGCAGGCGCCAAAATGTCCGTCCAACGTCCGCAGCCCAGTTACTGTGACTTCTTATTCTCCTTGCATTGCAGTGCTGCTGAGGAGCTCCAGGCCTGGCCCGGGCCCTCCGTGCGCCAGGCGCTGTACGAACCCAGAACCAGAAACCGGTCCCTGGCCCAAACAGCTCCCAAGCGAAGCACCGAGGTTCGTCTGGCCCTGCGCCGTGTGCAGAAGACTCAGAACCCAGTAGCACAATCAAGATTTTCCAAAGCATCTAAGGGTTTTTTCGGTGCCTGGGAGTTTCAGCGGGTGTCCCCAGAGGCCTGGAACCTGGGCACCCGGGTCCGAGTGCACGGTAGAGAAACGTTCATCGTCACTGAGTCCTCCAGCCCATCTCACTGCCACGGGGGCGGGGGGGTCTTTTAGCACCAGCTGTGGCCAGGGTGGATGCTGGGTGGGTTCAACCTGGGCTGTTGGGTGCCAGAAAATCTCTCCAGTTCTTAGCCAATCAGAACATCCCCCCGCCGGCTGCTTCTCTGACTCTAGATCAGGGTTCAGAGCACCACCTAGTGGGGGCGGAGTGTGCAGCACCCCTGGTCTGTGGCTGGCTGAGCAGAGTCAGGCTGGGGGCTAATGGCCTGAACCAGGCCTGCCCCAGAGTGCGCACGTGTGTGTGTGGGGTGGGGGGGTGTAAAGCCATTTCCTCACAGGCTACAAAGCCTTAGCAGAGCTGGGGGTGCAGGGAGCCCAGGGCGGGGCTGACAGGGGGGCTGCAGGTTGGTCGTGAGGGGCGTGGGCAGGGGGATCCCAGGAATAGCAGGGGGCTGCGGGTCGGGGCTGAGGGGCGTCGGCAGCCCAGGGCAGAGGAAGCCCATAGCAGCCGGCTGCGAGTCGGGATCATGGTACCATGGCACAATGGAGTGAAGGCAGTGAGTGCCATTCCCTCCCTGGCTGTGGCTGGCTCTCTAGGCAGCCCTAGGCCATCCCACACTGGCCCACGCCCCCAGCCAGGGGCTTGCAGGGCCATGGCCCCCTGAAGGAAGGGGCGTTCCAGAGCCATTGGCCATCACAGGGCGAGGATAAAAACACACAATGCAGCATAAACCACTGGGCCATTAGCCACAGCCATGGCTCCCTGGCCAGGGAACAGCTCCTTCAATGGCACTGGGCCCTGAGGCCCCTGGATTTATGATTCTCTGTAAACACCCAGCAAAAATCCTGCTTCCTTCGGCCCCTGCGGCCCAGCACTGCCCTCCCCCGTGTGTTCCCCTCCCACCCCAAAGGCAGCTCCTGTGAGACCATTTCTGGGCTCAGCTCCCTTCCCTCCAGGGGCCTGGAGGGGACACGGGTGCTGCTGGACATCGCTCCAGGAGCCTGATACAGCCGGGGGTGATGAGAAGCCCGTGCCCAGGGATCCTGCCCAGATCCACTGCAGGAAGGGAGCAGGTCCCAGGGGGCAGTGGGCGAGGCTGGGCCTCCCCCACCTGTCAGGGGCAGTGGGCTGAATAGTGCCTGGGGCAGAGGGAGGGTCTTTCTGGGAGGGCTCCCAGCCTTTGGGGGCAGCTTAGAATGTCCATGGGGTGGGGGGTGCGATTTAGTCTTATAAAGGAAGGAAGAAATGCCTAGTGGTTAGAGCGGGGGGGGGGGGTTGATAAATGAGAGGGGGGTAGCTCCCTTTTGTGGACACCCAGCCAGCCAGTTGGCTATGGACTTCCTCTTGGTGTCTGTTTTCTACTTGTTTTACCTGTAAAGGATCAACAAGCCCACAGGTAAAAGGAAGGGAGTGGGCACCTGATCACAAAAGCCAATGGGAGGGCTAGAACTTTTCAAAATTGGGGGAAAAACTTCCCTTTGTCTGTGTGTTGCAGTTCTCCGGGGAAGCGGGGAACAGGCAGCATGAAAAGCTTTAAGCCAGTTAAGAAAAACCATCAGATCATCCCGAGAGACTGCTGATCTGAACCCCCCGATGCGTAAGGAAATTAGGGCATGTCTAGGAAAACATGATTAGGGTTATTTCTTATTGGCCCGTGGACTCCTCAGGGCTAACCCCACATATTTTTGTTTTGCTAGTAACCTTTATGCTGGACCTCAGGGTTATTCTTGATGTTTGATTTTTGTAAGTGGGTTTTTTAAATCCAGCAAAAGCCCAAGTTCCAGGTGTGTCTCCTTTCTTTTTGTTTCTAATACAATTTGCCTTTTTTAGGAACAGGGCTGGGTTTTGGTGCCCTAAGAGGTTTGTCCCCATGCTGTTTAACTAGCTGGTGGCTACAACTGATTTCCTTTCTCAGCTCTTCCCCGAGGGGGGCGCGTGTGTGTGAAAGGGCTTGAGGGTGCCCCACAGGGAGCAATTCCCAAGTGCGCCTTCCCGGGTTCCAAGAGGTTTTGCACTGGGGTGGTGGCAGCATCTACCCAGCCAAGGTCAGAGAGAACCTGTAACCTTGGGAATTTAATACCACCCTGGAGTGGCCAATATTAATTTTTAGAATGCTTGTGGGCCCCACCTTCTGCACTTGAAGTGCCAGAGTGGGGAATCAGCTTTAACGGGGGGTGGGGGGGGGGGGAGCCAGGACTCCTGGGTTCTATCCCCAGCTCTGGGAGGGGGGTGCTGGGAGCCAGGACTCCTGGGTTCTGTCCCCAGCTGTGCCAGCCTTGCTGTGTAGCCAGGCTGAAGTCTCCCCCTCCCTGCCTCAGTTTCCCCTGTTGAGCAGGGGGGAGCGGTCCCGGGATCTCGGGTGAACGTGTGTAAAGTGCCAGGTGTCAGAATGATTTGAGAGCGGAAATCAGTTCCTCTTTTACTGACCTGTCAGGACCTGAGTTCAGAGCTCGCTGTTTCACCATGGCAACGACTGATGACATCACCAAGGCCTGAGAGTTGTCCTGATTCTTTCGCGCTGATGTCACCAGCTGTTGCCTGGGAAACCCAGAACCCAAAATTCGGGTCTTGGCAGGTTAGAAACAGCGACTTACCGGGCGGGCCCGATCCGGGCCCAACTCTGCCCCGCTCCGGGCTCCGACCCGCCGAGGGGCCCGGGGAGGGTCCGGACCCCCGCGAATGGGGCAGTGGGGGGAGGGGGCGGGAGCCAGGACTCCTGGGTTCTGTTCCTGGCCCTGGCCAGGGGGTGGGGTCCCTGGGGGGAGGCTGGACTCAGGACTCCTGGGTTCGAGTCCAGGCTCTGCGCCGACTGGCCTGACCCGTGCCTCGATTTCCCCAGCGATAACCACTGTGGCTAGCGGGGACGGGGGGTCACAGCCGGGGCCTGGGGCGGCGGCTCCGGTCCTAACCCGGGTCCCCCCGGACGCGACGCCCAAGCACCTGGCGGAGGGGTGGGGGGCGGCCCGGCGCCGACGAGGTTAACCCCGCGGCGTCACATGGCCGGGCGGGGACCCGCCCCTCGCGGGGGTGTCGGGACGGTCCCACCCGTGACTGTCCGCGCCAGCGAGCGGCCGCAGCATCCCTGGGTACGGGGGGTACGGGGGGGCCCGGCGGGGGCCGGCCAGGGGCTGCACGATGCTGCACTCGACCGGGGCCTGGCTTCGGGTGGGGGCAGGACACAGGCTGGGGGGGAACTGACAGGCTGGGGGGCAGGACACAGGCTGGGGGGGGAACTGACAGGCTGGGGGGGCAGGGCACAGGCTGGGGGGGGAACTGACAGGCTAGGGGGGCAGGGCACAGGTTCGGGGGGCAGGGCACAGGCTGAAGTCTGACAGGCTGGGGGGGCAGGGCACAGGCTGGGGGGGAACTGACAGGCTGGGGGGCAGGACACAGGTTCGGGGGGCAGGGCACAGGCTGAAGTCTGACAGGCTGGGGGGGCAGGGCACAGGCTGGGGGGGAACTGACAGGCTGGGGGGGCAGGACACAGGCTGGGGGGGAACTGACAGGCTACGGGGGCAGGGCACAGGTTCGGGGGGCAGGGCACAGGCTGAAGTCTGACAGGCTGGGGGGGGCAGGACACAGGCTGGGGGGGGAACTGACAGGCTGGGGGGGCAGGACACAGGTTCGGGGGGCAGGGCACAGGCTGAAGTCTGACAGGCTGGGGGGGCAGGGCACAGGCTGGGGGGGAACTGACAGGCTAGGGGGGCAGGGCACAGGTCCGGGGGGCAGGACACAGGCTGAAGTCTGACAGGCTGGGGGGGGGGCAGGACACAGGCTGGGGGGAACTGACAGGCTAGGGGGGCAGGGTACAGGTCCGGGGGGCAGGACACAGGCTGAAGTCTGACAGGCTGCGGGGGGCAGGACACAGGCTGGGGGGAACTGACAGGTGTAGGGGGGCAGGACAAAGTCCTGGGGTGGGAGCTGAGAGGCTGGGGGGGAGCTGAGAGGCTGGGGGGAAGGACACAGGCTGGGGGGGAACTGACAGGCTGGGGGGGCAGGGCACAGGTTCGGGGGGCAGGACACAGGCTGAAATCTGACAGGCTGGGGGGGGCAGGACACAGGCTGGGGGGGAACTGACAGGTGTAGGGGGGCAGGACACAGTCCTGGGGTGGGAGCTGAGAGGCTGGGGGGGGAGCTGAGAGGCTGGAGGGGAACTGACAGGTGTGGGGGGGCAGGACACAGGCTGAGGGGGGGGAGCTGCTGCTGCCATTTGGCTTGGCTCCGGCCTGGGATGCTGCCTGGCACTGAAGGGGTTAATGTGGGGCCTCCCGGTTTGGGCGGGGGCCTGACTCAGGCAAGGGGGGGGTCCCACTGGAGGGGAGCGGTCTCTGTCCCGGACCAGGGAGCTGTTTGCTGGCCCTGTATGGCCCGGGGGAGGGGGCTGGCGCCCCCTGGGGAGGCCAGAGGTCTGATGGGGCAAGCCCATGGCACCGGTGGGTGAGGGTCTCCCTCCCGAGGCCTGGCAGGCTGCACCCCGCCAACTGCTCCCCACCAGCCAGCCTCGCCCCTCCAAGCCAGCGGGGGGCTGGCAGCGGGAGGGGCTGGGGGAATTGCCCCAGTCTCCTTCCCCTCCCCCATGCGCTGCCAGCTTGGCCCCAGTGCTCTGCCGTGGGACCAAAGCCAGCATCCCCCACAAGGAGCCTTTGCCTGGGGGAGTGAGGCAGGCCAGAGCCCCGTGGCTCGATCCACATCCCCGTGGCACGTCCCCAGCCATGCCAGGCTAGAGTCCCCGTGGCACGTCCTCAACCAGGCCAGGCTAGAGTCCCCGTGGCACGTCCCCAACCGGGCCAGCCTGGAGCCCCCATGGCACGTCCCCAGGCCAGGCTGGAGCCCCATGGCTCAGTCCACGGCCCCGTGGCACGTCCCCCACCCAGGCCAGGCCAGAGCCCCGTGGCAGTCCCCTGCCCTCTGACATTCGGCCTAGCCTCTGTCACATCTGGTAACAGTTTGGGTTAATTTTGGCATGTGCCGTTCTCCCAGAAGCCTTTGGAGCTGGGGGAGCCCTGCCCTGCCTGCCAGGTGGCTCCCCCTCTCAGGGCACCTCCCCGGGCCCTGTAATTAGCAGCTGCTGCTTTAGACCCAGCTATTTTGAGATGGGTTTTGTTAACCCCTTTGACACCGCGATGCCAGGGGTGGTCCTGGCCCCTCTCCAGCCTGCCCTGCAGCTAGGGGCTGCTCTGAACCCCAGCCCCATGAGAGGGGAGACAAGTCTCATGTCTCCCCATTTCAGAGGGGAAACGGGGGCCTGGAGACAGGAGTTGTCCAAGGTCGTGCAGCGGGTCAGGCACAGAACTGGGAATAGAACTTAGGAGTCCTGGCTCCTAGCCCTTGCTCTCCTGCTAGCCCCATTTCCCTTCCCCATGAACCTGGGAGCCCCACTCCCCCAGTCCTGCCCTCTAATCACTGGACCTTCCTTTTCACTGTCTGGTGGGCTCTGGTCTCTCGTGGCCTGTGGGAAGGTGTAGGGGGAACCTGGGTGCCATCTAACCCTGCCTCCCTTCCAGACCCCCGCTCCACCATGTCGGCCCTGCTGAAGAGCCTAGTGGGTGCGTCGGAGAAGTCAGCCCGCATCGCCCAGCTGTGCCGCCAGGAGGAGGCGCTCTTCCAGCTGCTCATTGAGGAGAAGACGGGCACCGACAAGAACAAGAAGTTTGTGCAGGATTTCAAGACGCTGGCGGACGTGCTCATCCAGGAGGTCATAAAGCACGACGTGGGCAAGGAGGTACCCGTGGGCACCCTGCAGGGCTGGGGCCTCTCCCCTCTGCCTGTCCGACTGCATCCAAATAGCATCCCCGGGGGGGGGGGGCCAGGCGGGAGCAGGGGGTGCCCCTTGGGGGCATGGGGAAGGCATCGTATCCCCGAGGCAAGGAGCTGCCTAGGTCCCCATCTATGGACACCCCCCTCCAGGGTCCCCTCACCCCTAGACGAAAGGAGGTGGAGTCTCAAGGGCCTGAGACAAGGGGTTCGTGCTACCCTGAGCTCCCCCTGCCCTGTCTCTTTCAGTTCCCAGAGCTGCACGGCCACATCTGCGGGGAGGAGTCCAACAAGTTTGAGAACAGCCTGGGTGAGTGAGTCGGCGGCGTGGGGACAGGATGGAGCTACCAGTGGGGGGCGCTGTCCCTGGCTGAGTGGGGTCCCTGGTCTCCCATGCAGCATGGTGGCCGGGGCTGAGTTCTTGGGAAAGGTATAAGGGCCCCCACCCCCTGCCATGCTAACCCAGCATGGGGTGGGGAGGGCTTGGGGCAGCTAGTGCTGGGGGTCTGAGCTGGTCCTGTACTGGGGTGGGGGGAGTCCCTGATCTGGGGAGCCCCCCTGCATCACACTGACTCCAGCCCCCTTGTACTGGGGGCCCCCGAGCCTGCCCCGTCTGGCTAAGCCCGTCCACCCTCAGGAGAGACCCTGGTGGTGCAGGTGTGCACGACCCAGCGGGACACGGCCTCGCTGCTCTTCAAAATCCTGGACCGGAACCAGCCGGCGGCTGAGCTGCTGGCAGCGGCCATCCACCAGGAGGTGGCGCTGCAGGACCCGGCGCTGGACACCGTGGCGCTGGCAATCCCCCCGGAGAGACTGGCCATCTGGATCGACCCCATCGGTAAGGGGGGTCCCTCGCTGCCATCCCAGAGCACGACACCAGGGGCGCGGGAGCGGCCGGCCTGTCCTGGGGCTGGGAAAAGGTGCTGACCCATGGCCTCACCCCCACGGTGGCTCCTCCCTGCCCTGGAGGGAACCCACATCCCCAGCTCTAGGGCCGAGACCCCCAGTTAGTACCAGTCATGCCAGCATGGCGAGGACAAAGGGAGCGATGTGGCTTTGGCTGGGGGGCTTCGTGCTCTGCCCGGGCGGGGCTCGGAGCCTGCTTCTGACGCCGCCCTCTCTCTGGCAGATTCCACCAATCAGTATATCCGTGGCCAGGCCAGCGTGGCGCCCATTGGTGGCATCTGCCCATCCGGGCTGCGCTCGGCACTGGTGCTCATCGGGGCATATGACCGCAGCTCGGGGGACCCGGTCCTGGGGGTCATCAACGAGCCGTTCTTCCGGGAGGACCCCCTCACCCACAGGTACCTGCCCCTCACCGCCGGACCTTCCCCTGAGCCCTGCCCTGGGCACATCCTGGCGCTGCCCCTGGCCTGGGGGGGGTCTGCAGGCACCCCAGCAGCTGGACCTTGCTGGGGACCCCACACAGGGCAGGCCACTAGGCCCTTGGCCTGTACCAACCCCACCCTTCCCCCAGGGACTGGGGCAGAGAGAAGTGGGCCGGGGGGGTTGCTTTGACAGTGGCTCGTGGCTCTCTCTGATCAGCTTCAGTTCATGGCAGGGACCCACCCTGGGGTGTGTGTAACCCTTTCCCTCACACACTCTGCTGGTGCCTCTGAGCCCTGACCCGCAGCCCCCTGCTGTCCCAGCCCTGGGCTCCTCCCCCCCCCCCCCAGCTCTGCCGGTGCCCCTCGCTCCCGACTCGCAGCCCCCTGCTAGCCCAGACCTGGGCTCCCCCCAGCTCTGCTGGTGCCCCTCACTCCCGACCTGCAGCCCCCTGCTGTCCCAGCCCTGGGCTCCTCCCCACCCCCAGCTCTGCCGGTGCCCCTCACTCCCGACTCGCAGCCCCCTGCTAGCCCAGCCCTGGGCTCCCCCCAGCTCTGCCGGTGCCCCTCACTCCCGACCTGCAGCCCCCTGCTTTCCCAGCCCTGAGCTCCTCTCCTGAGCAGCTGCCGTCAGCCCCGCCTCTGCTGCTCCCTGTGGCAGCTGGCACCGTCCCCATGGTGTTCTCCTGTGCGCAGGTGGCAGGGCGTGTATCACTGGGGCATCTCGTACCAGGGCACCAGCCTGTGCTCGCTGAGCCGGCCCCCGCTGCGCCCCGAGCCCTCCGTCGTCCTGAGCCGCAGCGAGACGCCGGCCATCCAGCGGGTGCTGAGGCCCCTGTATGGGGAGCGGCTGCTCTTCGCCTCGGGCGCCGGCTACAAGATGCTGTGCGTGATCCTGGGGCTGGCCGAGGCCTACGTCCTCTCGGAGGGCAGCACCTTCAAGTGGGACTCGTGCGCCCCCCATGCCATCCTGCGGGCCCTGGGCGGAGGGATGGTGGACCTGGAGGCTGCCCTGCAGGCCTGGCGCGCCGGCCAGCGGGGGGCGCTGCCAGAGCTGACCTACAGCCAGCCTGCGGGGGGCGCTGTGGGGGCTGAGCGCTGGGCCAACCGGGGCGGCCTGGTGGCCTTCATGCACCGTGAACACCTGGAGGTGGTGCTGGCCACGCTGGCCACTGCTGCCCTGTGACCCTCAGGGGGCTGCCTCGGGGGAGGGGCAGCCTGGCTCCGCCTCTGCTGCAGCAGGGGACGGGGCCAGCCCCCGCCCGGCTTGGTCTGTGGGGGTGGGGGCAGTTGGGCACCAAGGGCGCGAAGGGGCGGGGGCGGCAGCACCATTCGGAGGAGGGGCAGGGGGCTGCAGGCAGCCCCTGCTTCCCTGCCAGGTGCCGCAGACCTGGGCGTCTGACGCCACCCCCACCCCCTGGAGCCTTCCAGCCTCACCCCCTCTGCTAGGGCTGCCCGTGCTGAGCTCGCCCCTTTGTGCCAGCCTCCGCCGGGCCCCCATTAAACCATGCCTTTCTTTTCCTGCCCTCTCGCCTTTCATTTGTTCTCCCTCCTTCCCCCGCCCCAGGCCCCTGCCCCGGCCAGCCCCATCTCCAGACCTATTGCCCGGCTGGTGCTCCTGGGCGCCCGTTTCTAACCCGGCCCTGGAGCGGGGCTGGGCGGGCTCTGGGACTGGTGGGCGGGAGGTGCACACTGCAGAGCCCCTCTGAGCCAGCAGGGGGCAGGAGCAGCCGGGCTGTATAAACCCTGCTGGGCAGGAGAATTTCCCCGTCTCTGCCCAGCCAGGCAACCCCCCCGGGCCAGGGCAGGGGTGCCAGTCCCCCCAGGATGAGCAGTGAGCTCGGCGCCAGCAGCCAGGCCTTTGTCTCACAGCTGGATGCTCCCGGCATCCCCTGCCCCCAGCAGGGTCCTGGGCAGAACTCAGGGGGGTCAGTGCAGTGCAGCATCCAAGTCCCCTGCCCCGCCCCAGCAGCAGAGTCGCCGGACCCCTGCCCTGCTGCCCAGACTTTCCCTGGCTCCAGGCGTTCTCTCTAACCACCAGCCCCTGCCCTGGGGCTCCCCTACCTGGCAGCGCTGAGCTGTCCCTGGGCAGGGCAGGTGGGAGGAGTTTCCATACACCTCACCCTGCTGCTATCTAATCTGGAGCCAGGGAGCACCTCTCCAGGGGATGACAGCTCTGATCCGGCCCCACAGCAGGGCCTGGCTGGCTCGGGGGAGGGGGCTGGGAATGGGGCAGGAGGCCTTTCCCCTCTAGGGGGCACTGGCTCTGATCCCCAGGGTGGGGCCTGGCTGGCTCAGGGGGGCTGGGAATGGGACATGAGGCCTTTCCCCTCTGGGAGGTGCTGTTTCCGGTCTAACTGTCTCCTCACCTGGGGTCATTTCTGAGCTCTGCACCCACCGTGAGCAAGTCACCAAATCTCTCTGGGCCTCGGTGCCCCGATCACCTGGCCTCCCTCGCCCTTTCTGGTTAGGGGTCAGGCTCTCTGGGCAGGGGCTGGCTCTTCCTCTGTGTTTGTGCAGGGCCTGGTACGGGGGGCCTTGATCTCATTCGGGGGGCCTGTGCAGGGCCTGGTACGGGGGGCCTTGATCTCATTCGGGGGGCCTGTGCAGGGCCTGGTACAAGGGGGGCCCTGATCTCATTGGGGACCGCTAGGCACTACGCACTACAAATCCTAATGTTCCAGCTCCTGGAACGGGCAGCCCAGGCCCATGCCCGCTGCCTGAGGGCACCTGCCACACGCTCGTTGGCGACTGATCTTGGTGGTGGGGGGGATGGTCTCTGTATATAATGCCCCTGATGGAGGCTATAAAACACAAGGTATGAGGGAGACATTTAAAACCAAGGTCTGGCCCCTAACTGACAGCCCCCTCCAGAGACTGAACTGGGCCTGCCATCGCAACGTGGACATAAAGAAAAGTTTGTCCTGTCCGGGCTGATGCCAGCCCAGCACCCAGGGACTTTCCTGGGTAAAATGAAGTCACTTTACAAGGCAGTTCGACAACAACCAGGCATTGTCTGCATCCCCCAGAGGGGGAAACTGAGGCAATGAGGAAGAAAGTGACCTGCCCAGGGTCACGCAGCGAGGCGGGTGGAGGCGGCAGTAGAGCCTGGAGGTCCTCCAAGAACTGGGACAGAACCCAGGAGTCCTGACCCCCCCACAATGCTAAACTCATCTGGATAAGGTGGGAAGGGCTGGGACTCCTTTTCACTTTTGCGGGGGGCTCAAAGGCTCCCGGGAGCAGGCGATTCAGCGGCTCCGTACTGGGCCCTGGGCCCGGCGCTGTCGGCTCCCGCACGTGCCGCAGGCTGTTCTGCTCTGGACCGCGCTATTTGCAAGGGAAACTAGGTCTCGCTCCCGCAGGTCGCCAGCAATGGAGGATCCCCCTGCCCTGGGGAGGTGCACCAGGGGTTAACCCCCGTTAACAATCTGGGCCTACTTTCTAATTGGAATTTGTCTGGTTCAGCTTCCAGCTAGCAGCCCCTTCGGACCCAGCATTCAGCGGCTTAGGTCCCGTCCCATATGGGACTAGCCTCACTGCACAGAGCAGCAGGATCATCTGGGGCTGGAACGGCTTCGACTTCAGAAAGGAGACGACTGAGGGGGAGAAAATCAGGCCGGGAAGGGGAAAAGTGGCTAGGGAAGGGTGATTTGCCCTTTCCCGCATGACAGAAGCCAGGGGTCCCCGGTGAAGTGAACAGGCAGTGGGTGTCCTACAAACGAGAGGCAGTCATTTTCATGCAGTGCACGGTTTACCTGTGGAACTCCTTGCCAGGGGATGTTATGAAGGCCCAAAGTACAACTAGGTTCAAAAAAGAACTGGGTCAGTTTGCAGTCAGGGCCGCAGGCAGCTCCATCCTGGGTCGCCCTAAACCTCTGACCGCCAGGAGCTGGGAGGGGAAGCCGGGGGGGGTTCGGCCAGCTCCCCTGTTCTGGGCTCTCCCCCTGGCGCTCTGGCAGGGCAGCTGCTGAAGACGGGATCTGGGGCTAGCCGGACCCTGTCCGCCCCAGGGCTGCCCCTGCATGAGCCGCTTTAGGGCAGTGGGGCTGGAGGAAGTTTCTGTTAATTCCCCCGAGGGGTGGGGGGAGCCCACGTCACGTGGGGGCTGCGGGGCGCTTTCCAAGGGACAAAGTCAAACTCCCCGGCTCGTTGCCACCTGCCCCCGCCGCCCGTGGGGGGCTGAGCGCGGCCCCGGCCGAGACCCCGACCCATAGGGGCCCCCAGAGAGCCAGCAATAGCCAGCTGCCCCCGCGGGGCCGCGCGTGGGGGCCGATCCCGCCCGCCCGGGGCTCGCAGGGCTGGGCCGGGGGCTCCCCGTGCGGCCGGCGGGGGGGTTAACCGGGGCCCCTGGCGCCGGGGCTGGAAGCCACCCGGGGGCGGGGCCGCCCCGCCCCACCCCACGCCCACCCGTGGGTTTCCTGTTGACTCACAGGGGTCACATGGTGCCGGGCCCCTCCTGCCACCTGCGTGGAGCCGAGCGAGTCAAGTGATCGGGCCGGGCGGCGGCAGGAGCGCGGGGCTGCGAGACCGAGGTGGGTGGGGGGTTTAGAAAGTGGGGAGCCAGGGGGCGGCTCCCTGGGTGGGCGGGGGAGAGGGAAGGGGGAGGATTCCAGCTTGGGGGGGTGGGGGGACGCGCTGCCGGGGTGATTCCGGCGGGGGGGGGCTTTCCCCGGGCGAAGGGGCCGGGGGCCGGTGGGGGGGTCTGTTCCGCACTCCCCCAGCCCCGCGGCTCTGCTGCGCCCTTTGTCCCCCCAGGCACCGGGCGCGATGGCGTTGGAAGGCGGCATGAGATGCGTCAAGTTCCTGGTTTTCTTCTTCAACTTCTTGTTCTGGGTGAGTCGGGCCTGCCCCCCCCCCCCCCGCCCGCCCCCTAGTTCCCTCGGGGTGACCCGGGCTGGCTCCTGATTGCGTCATCCCCACCCCCAAGTCTCCCCCCGCGCCCATGGGCGCGTCTCCCTGCCGCCAGCGCTGGCAGGGGTCTGGCTGGCCGAGCGGTGGCCGGGGGTCCCAGGTTCCCGCCCCGCCCTGCCTGGGGAGGGGGGCAGAGGCTGGAGACTTCCCCCCGGGGGGGGCAGAGGCTGGGGTTGGACCAAGCGGGGCTCTCCCGGTGGACAGGGGCTGGGGCAGGTGGGGGTTCGGGTCCCTGGGGACATGGGGGGCTGAGCCCCCTCTGTGACAAGGCATGAGCTGGGCCTGAAGTGGGGTGGGGCTGGGCGGAAGGTCTCCGGGGGCCTGCAGGGTTCCCCCGGCCCTTCTCAGAAGCAGCTGGGCTGCCCCCGTGGTGGGCTGGAGGCCAGGCTAGATGGGCCCGGGCTGGGGCTGATGTGTGGGGCGAGGGGCCAGTTTGGCTCATTAGAGAGACCAGGGAGATTCTGAATCTCAGCCCTGAGCCCTTCTGAAGTTCGGAGCCAGGTTCTTGACTCTGGCCCAGCCCCAAAGAGGCTCCTTTTCCCTGCTGTGGGGACAGGATGTGGGCTAGCTGCAGCCCCACTCTGGTGGCTAACGCGGGGCTCAAAGGGCCCTAAAAAACCACAGAGCATCACTTATACCACTGTCTGCCTCACACTGGGGGCCAGGGAAGCGAGGAAGTTGGCTAGTATTTCAGACCTTCATGGCCACAGCGGGGCTTGACCCCAGGTCATCCAGCCCCAGACACCCTGCCGTTCCAGCACACTGGGCCTCTCCCCTGCCTGTTTGCAGTATTGGGTCTATGACAACAGACTTGGGGTTCTGGCTCTGCCTGGCAGAGAGCATAGTGGTGCCACCTTGTACAGGCCTTGGCTCGGGATGGCAGGTGACTTCTCTGGAACAGGCACCCCCCAGCTCATGCCCACGGGATACAGGAGTTTCCATTTAATGTGTCTGGAGGGTGCGAACCAATCCAGAATTGCAGGTGAGGAGACGGGGCCTTCCCAGGCTGCACCCAGCTCTCCACTGGGGTGGGGCACCAAGGGATGGTTGGTTCGGCCGTGAGGCTTTTCCTGGTGCTCCTGGGCAGGAAATCTGGAGGGTGTCCGCTTGGGAGTGATTGACTTATTTGGGGGGGGGTGTGGATTGGGGGGACGGGGCAGGAGGTGGGCAGCTAATCGTAAACAGGAGTCAGCTGGGGAAGATGTGGTACCTCCCCACCCCTGGCCCAGAGTAGCTGGTGATTTATTGCTAATAGCCCGGCAGCTGCATTGTTGACCTATAATCAGCCAGCATTAGGTTTCAGGGGTAACGCCCCAGTGCAGTGAGTGAGTTATACCCACTTTTTCCCCAAGAGCGGCTGGAGACCTTAAGCCTGGCTTCTGGGGCTGCTCGACAGCGTATTCAGCGTCCACGGAATTGCCCTGCTGGCTAATCCCAGAGCAGGCATGGGGCAGGCCTCCCCTCCCCCTGGGCCGTGGTGTCTCGCCTGCCCTGGACAGATGCTCCCTCCACCCGGGGAGCTGGGCCTCCCTGGCCCATTCGCCCCTTGACATCTCTGCTGCCACTGCCTTGGCCTGTCTGTGACCTCAGTGGCCGTCGTCCCTGGAGC